TAGGCACTCAGCTGGGAGTGACAGAGCCAGGATCCAAACCCAGATTTAGCCAAACAGAAATCTCAGAACTGCATACCACCTCCAAATTTTTGCTATGAGATTATAAAATCTCAAAATTCAGACGTTGTCACGTCTGAATGTATTTGCTGTGAGAAGATTGTATAATCTCATAGTCAACTGGGATAAAAAGAGACAGTAGGAGGAGGTAACAATGGCCAGAAAGGGCAGGGCACTTTGGAAGAGTGAGGGAGAGTAATGTGGCTTTCACGAATGAGAGTTATGAGAGACTTTGGAGTTGTAGAACACTATTTGCAACCTGGATATACAGAATAAATTCATTTGACATTTTCTTCTGGTCTCAAGGAATGTGATTATTCCTTTACTCAGTTCATCCTCAAATCTCATTAAAATAGTGCATAATGGATTGGAAGAATTATAGCTTCTTGATGCTGACATCTTATTTTTCATCTGAAACTGTCAACTCCCTAATCTCTGTAAGTGTTCAGCGCTTGTTTGGTCTGCTAGAAAAAAAATCAAAATTACATTTTAGTCCTGAAATTTTTTTTTAATGATGTACCCTCATTTCTCACACTTAGAGTATGTGTTTGGGCAAGACTTTAATAAACACGAACAGAATAAATCATCTGAAAACACTTATCTTAACCTGCAGCTTCTGTGTCAGAAAGCTGAGAGGCTATAAGATTCTAGCGTCACCCTACTCCTCACTTGTCAGTTGTTTGACATGGGAAATGTACCCTTCCTCATTAGTAAAAAGGAGAGGGCAATACCTATATTATAAGATAGATATGTGGATTACATGGGATAATGTGTAAGTACCTGTTAATTACTAGACTTCCCAGGAAGATTAGAATTTTATGCATCAATTGGTATTGGCTCAAATTTACTAGGCATCTATAATCAGGAACTTTACAGAAGTCACCTCTTTGAATCCTCAGAACAACTTTTCAAGGCGGGTTTCCTTATTTTCACATTAGAGATGAAAAACTGAGTTGCAGGGATTTTAAATAACATGACAAAGAATCAGGATTAAAAGTCCAGTGTAATTTCACATCTCGTGTATTTTCCGCTACACCAACCTCCATCTCAGTCTACTATACAATTAACATTGAGTGCCTAATGTTTGCTCACATTCACATATAAAATATAAGCAAGGCAGAAGTCTACTTAAAATA